TCAGTGAATTACCTCCTGAGCCATATACAATCCTTAATCCAATGCAATATTACCCTCCCATCTTTGTATCCGTAATTCAAGTGGTTGATTTCATTTAATCACATATTGACTGAAGCAAATATATTCGAAGACATTAGATTTACATAGATTTATAATATTAATTATTGAATATATATTAATAAGACACAAAATATGTTGGGTGAAATAAGATAAAACAGTAGTTTAAAAATATTAATCGTAGTTTATTGTGGATAATGCAACGGTAGCGAAAATACAGTTTTATAATGAACTAACTAATTTGCATATGTCAAATTTAGATGTTTTTATCTTTACAATCAGGTAAACGATAACTCAGTCCAGAAAGCCAAATGTCCCCAAGAGTACTGTCAATTTTCTCTCCGCCATCTTTAATTACAGTACTGTGACTCTAGAAATTATACAACAGTATTCCAAACCATAACCGATTTATTCCTACATATTTGTAACAGCTACAGCTATTAAGAGAAGTTCAGTAACGAAACAGACCACACAACAACAACAAAAGAAACAAAAAGGCGAAAGATGGAGTCAAATTTGATGTATTGTGTCCTCAACGTGCGTTCTTATTCTTCTTGACAGACAGACAGACAGAAATCTATTTTGTTGACAAGCAGACACAGCAATGCACGTCTTAATTATTATTGTCCGCGTCATTAGCTTGGCATCAGCAATACTCCTCAGCAGTTATTTTAATCAAGAAACTTGCATCCTTTTATGGGACCAGAAAGTTCATTACCATTGAATCATATTCAAAACCAGTCCACCACACATCCGCTCTATCCACAACTTTCATTTAAATTCTTTCACAAAAATATGTTGAAGTCATTTTTACAAAGACATCACACATGAACCGGCGGTACATTAAATTATCAGGTGTTTTAATTTCCGGGGTCGTAGACCTGTCCCTAGTGTAAAATTACTCTAGGCATGATATTCAGATCATAAAAACTAACGACTATGTACAGTGTAAGTGTAGTGTAACCCAAATAATACCTATTTTATTCCGATTACACAAACGCTGAGTGACAGTTTCAGTTATGCTTCAAGTGATCGAAAGAATGCGATCGGCCACGCAACTGAACAGAACGGTGTTCTACGAACTAGTTTATATGCAGCCATCACACAACTAATACACAGACGTCATGCTGTGTGTAATACCAGGTAGCCTAAGTGCATTTCTCTCGATTAAAATGACTATTTCAGTTGGTTCATTGGCACTTGAAGAAAGTCGTGACGGAACAAAGCAATATAAAGCTGTTGATCTGCTTCGTAGACTACGAAAAATGGACACAGCCATACTCATTCTCCAAAAAAAAAAAAAAATCACAAAATTTCATCACTTGGAAGACACTGGCATAGAGTGGAAGATAATATTAGAAACGATGTTAAAGAAACAGTCAAATACAATGATGTGGAGTGGATGCGGGAGTAATGAACACTGGTTACATAAAAGGCGAGAACTTTCTTGACCAGCTGAGCATCTATCAGCTTCTGAAACGAGCCCTGTTCCATAGATTTATTCAAGAGAATTTCACCGTCACTGTTCATTTTCTGAGACAGTTCCCCAAACTCTGCCTTCCTCGAAACCCCAAGTACGTTAGGCTATGTTAAGTTACTTCAGAACAGGTAAATTTTAATATTGTTTCTTGCTTTATATTCACTGAAACGTACATATTTTACACTCAATCCATGCTCAGATCTGTTTTAGATGGGGTTTACTGGAGGAGCAAAAGACCGCCCTCCCCTTCACCGATTGAATGAAAAATTCAGACAGCCGCACACGTCTTGCAAACCAGAGATTACTAACTCACGGTATCTGAAACTTGAATACCAGATAAATGTCAAAGTTACCTGTGAATGCAAATTGTATATACGGACCGAACCCACTTCACGCGGGTAAGTTTCCAACACAATACGAGGCACAACATAGCTCAGCCATTCAACAACAGACACTAATCAGCTGACTTCCTGTTTATTCACCTTGCAGCCAGAGGCATCACGACTTAATTATATCTGACAACTCATTGAAAATATTTTAAATGCACTTTCAGTACTCTCGAGTACAAAAAACTGCCATCATATCATCCGGAGTTCGATCTCTAGTAAGAGTAGCGGTATTAATTATTATTATTATTGTCATCGCCACTGCATCTAGAACAGGTCTAGGGAGCATCCAATCTCCTGTCAAATAGATATCTCGTTGGAGATTCAAGCCGGCTAGTTAACAGACAGTCGCACAGTGGACGAATAGGAAACCGGATATACGTATATATACAAAACCTCTGTTTCTACTGTCCAAACAAAACACTACACTTCAGTTGTTAAAACTAATTATTAGAATCGAAAATCCACGTAGTGCAGAGATAAAGATCAAGATGACTAATGGAGAAATACATTGCATTCCGGTACCTAACCTAACTCGACGGTCCAACATCGGCGAAACACCAAACTTTGTCGTGGTAAAGTGGTTCTCATTTCTGTGTTGTAATCAGAAGGTCCCGGTATCGAAAATGCCTGAAAGTGGGCCATGACAACTTCCTTCTACTTACTTTCCAACCAAATAACATTGGTGCTGCATACTCTGAATTTTAGACAGCGTCGTTAAATTAACAAACAAAACAAGAAGCATCATGGAAACCAAAGCCGGTCGTTTTAAACTATAAGACAGTTCTGTCCATCTCCAATCTCGTTAATTTCTATCTGAGTAATGCGGTCATGTTTCCAGTCTTCTATTGGCGTGGTTTCCTCGCCAAAGTCTTTTGTCAATTCCGTTTTCCACCCATTTAAGCCACATGCCCGTCTACTTCAGTCTTCCATCTCGTTATCATAATAACAGAACGTGTCCTGTATAAACACTTGGTTCTAATTTCTCCGACACCCTCCATTTCTCTTATACGTCCATTTTAGGTCAAAATATTTGGCTGAATAATATGTTTATAGACACTCATGTTCTCTCAGTAAAAGGCTACCTCACAAAACAAAATGTGGAATTATTACTTCATATAATACTAAATTTTGAACCTTTCACGTTACCTGCCACCCAGTACACTTTTCTGCTTCTTATTTTATACGTACGATCTGAAGCTTTCACGGTGACAAAGCAGAATGAATTCTTCTCGGGGCTACCAGCCGTGTCAGGTGGTTAAATGGCGAAAACACCGACGTTTCGACAAGGCAAGAGCGAAGATGGTTCTCGAAACGTTAGTGATTTCTCCATTTAACCACCTGACACGGCTCGTAACCCGAGAAGAATTCATTACATTACATAATTATTAATTCTGTCCTATAGGCTATTGTATTACTTTGAATTACCTGTACACATTCTGGCGGAAAATAGTACTATTGAAATGGGATGACAAATAACTTTAAAGGGTCCAACTGTCAGCAAACGTAAAGTTGTAACTCTGCCTAAGCACCACCCCATGAATACGTATGGAGAATGGAGGTAAAGCTCCACACATTCTTAACCTTCTCACTAGATGGAGGTGAGTGAGCGATCGATCAGCAGAAGCACCTACAAGACGTGCCCCAGAGCCGATTTGGACATGTTGATGAAGACAACAGCCCTACACCCACTCCAACTTTCCATCCCTTATTAAATCACATTACTGGATGAGCAAGATGATTTTGGCTTGCCTTGGGGTTCTATTATAAGATTTTAGTTTTCCTTATTTTTTTTTAAAAAAAACAGACGACTGGCACAAATAAAAATTTCAACATTCTATCAACATCTTCTTTCCTATTTAATTTCTGTTTAAATTTTAATGTTACTATTATTTCACCAAATAAAATTTTACAACCTTCACATGTTCGGTTCCACTCTTTGAAGTCTAGAAAACGGATGGACTATATACTTATCACAAAAATAATCACTTTGAAACAGACCATCACATTCCAATCGAACAGACTTATTTCGGTTTACGGTACTCCCCATTTCACTCAGCCTCGAAGTAGGTCTACTTGGTTCGTAAAGTACAGCAAATTTGCTACGTCAGAGGAGCAGAAGTCCTATATATTATCTTAGCTGTGACTCACCTGTCTTGCGCCTTACGAAATGCCCCCACCCTCACTGCAGAACACACACCAGAGACTGACAGAAATCTCCGCTGGAATCAGCTGTTACCTTGCAGACTGACACAGACAGACTGAATTGTTAACAGCAAGTTTCAACACGAACGAGTACAGGCCCTGTCACAATTATACCTTCCCCTCCATACCTCATTCAGGTACAGTCACCACAACAACCATACACACATACAAAATACAAAAACAGTTGGACTCTCACGTGAAAGAAACGTAATTTGATTAATTTCTGTGGTGTGAGGATTCCTTCATTCCAACAGAAACGAAACTTCAAATCGTAAGTCATTATTTTTTATTCCTGTTTATTTGTTAACTTTTTCTGAACTGAATGCGTAATTTTGCTGCAAATTGTGACTTGAGAAATACTGAAAATATACTGTTTAACCAACGGAAGGAACAGATAATATCACGGGGGGCCTGTCTCTGGGTAGCGAATCCATCCTGATATCTTTCAAATTTAGAACAGATAACGTAAAAGGTAAATTACGGCCTTTGTCTACGATTTCTGCGCACACAAGGTCACGTGTTTTCTTACAGTGGTACAGACACGTGTGAACACACGGTTAGAAGCGCTGACGGAAGCAACCTCGCTATTATGCTTTCATTTTGTGTATTTTGTTGCAAGGAGTGCGTTGTAATGACGTCGCCGTGTTATGCAGGATTGAGTGCGGCACGCAGATTCGTTTGTATTTAAAATGCAAGCAACAAGGGTACAGTTGAGAGCCACGGTTATTTCGAAACACTACACTGAGGTCGAAAATTCCAGTGCAAACAGGGAGAAACCTGCAACTATGGATTTCTGTAGTGGAAATCTTCTCAGCCTCCACCACCACTCACTCTGTACATATTTCCAGAATAAGATTTCTGTCTCCACTCACCCGAACGCCGTCAAACACGGAGCTCGCCCAACCGATGATTATCAGCGGACTTGGCTTTCCGGGATGCGACGCGTCGAAGGTTGAAAGTTACCCAGCTTATCGACAAACATTGCAGGTGCCATCTTCAGAGTGGTTCGACGTTTTTAGAAGTTTCATATGAGGCGCCACCTGGTGCAGACATCACAAAATTTTATATTTTTAAACAGCGCCATGGCTTTTAAATTTATAGTTATTTCCATAAGCGTACTTTTCTCCACAGTAACCAAAGCGATATTAATAGATTAATTTGATTTCTGTGAAGGGCAGTCACTTTAAGAAAGCAATTATTGTAGTACAAGCGTGGAAAAACCAGTTTCTGAGATGGACCACCGGATATTCTCAGACTCTACTGAAAGCGCGCAGGTATAACCAATATAAAGACGTCTGGGTTTCACGTTTTCGAGTGACCGGATCTGACGTGACACATTCCACGTGATGTTCTAGCTACTGTTCACGCAGGGGCTACAACACTTCCGGAAATACCCAGCAACTTCACATTACCGGAAGTGCTTCGTCATTAAATGTACCTGTCTCCTGCCATTCTGTTCAATTTTCGACACTAAAAGCAAATAATATTTGCACAGCAAATCTTGTTATCATCCTTCGTACACAAATATTAAGGCATAATTTAATCTACACACAAAGCCACACTTTCCAATGTCTTTCTTTCTCTCTTTCTTTCTTTCTTCACGGTTAGGCGTTAATTCTGTGCATAAGGCACATATGAATAATTCAGAAACTAATACATTCTCACGTTCTTATATTTAACTGTATTTTCAGAGTAGGAATGGCATTCTTTACGAACTTCCAAGCTTCTTTCTTCCCGGTTTTCTCTCCAGTTTTCAAGCCTAAATTCTGACCAAGAAGTGACATGTTTTCGATATAGTCAATATTAAAAAAATTAGAAATAAATATAGTTTTCTCTCCACTCATTGTGATTAGCTTCGCAACAGCGATCTTTATTTGTGATTAAGCAACATCAAGACCACTGATCTATGAAAAACACAATAGAAACGGTTTGGGAAAATATTTGCACTGCACTGAAATAAGTATTTCCATTCACACATAAACTGTAAAAAATTAAATTTCTCATGCGATTTGTTCCGCTTTGAAAAATAATACAATTGTAACAGATTTACGTGTGAATGAAAACATGTGACAAATTTAGAAAGTACTGCTCCTAGCTTGTTACAATAACTAGCCTATAGGAAACGTTCACAGCAATAGACTGTACTGAACAACTTCACACTATTGAAATAGATCTGCACAATTAAATCTTTCTGTCACAAACAGATCTCGACACTTATGTAAGTGGACACTAGCCATTTCAGTGATTCAGAACAAAAAACCTAAAGCGAATCGCACCGAAGTCTCTGCATTTTAGTCAGAACAGAATAATAACCCAGTGACTAGAAAGAATTCCTTTCACTTCAGAGAGTTTGGTTCGGTTCCGTCACCGGACCATCAATGCCACGATTAACTGTCATTATTTAAATATCTAATATTATTTTAATTAAAAAAGTTAATACATTAAACACCGACAACAAGATTGTTTGTATTTCCATTGTAATCATTGCCCTGATGATGGAGGCAGCAAGGACCTCTGAAACTTCATTTAACTTCTACCAGGCTACAAGGCTCAACAACCCAGAAGATAGCCATAATGTTTATTAGTTTTCGTCCTAATCGCCCTGATGATGGAGGCAGCAAGGACCTCTAAAACTTCGTTTAACTTCTATCAGGCTACAAGGCTCAACAACCCAGAAGACAGTCATCTTAAAACTATTTTATTTGTGTACGTACTCAGCTGAATGGAAAAAAAGTTATTTACCCATTTAGTTTGAAAGAAATGCAGTTCCTCTAATCGTAAGTAACACGCGAAATGCCTACTGTAAAACTCGATAAATGAGGAAACGAGTCATCCCATTAGAACATTTGCAAAATGTAGATTTGCAGCAACATTTAGCGGTGAAGTGTGAAGTCCGAATTGTCACAGCAGTGAGCATGTGACAATAATTGGAGTTGCGTGGTGTTTCACAGCCAATTCACGGCCACGGTCTGCAAGAGACACCACATTCAGGTACAACAGCTGAACTCTGCACCGTCATTTCTGTTGTTACGGCGACATTCCGTCTTGACACGCTCAAGGTCACATTCTTCTACTCTGAAATATGCAGATTAGGCTCGGTAATATTCCACAGTATGGACGATAAACATTCATACTGGCAAACGATTATAGTCCTTGATGCAAATGAACATAAATGTTGAATCTGAGCGGCCTATTATATTGTAGCTTTAAAGAAAACTTCCTGAGTTTACTCAACGCCGTAAGACGTATGGGTTAGTGAATTTAAAGTTCTGCTAGACTTCGACAATGAAGCCATCAACTGTCACTGGTCCGATAGGGTGAGACTACGCGAAGAACGGGTCTGTCATGCTGCCGTATTGGGTCACTTTGTTGACAGATCTGTTCTAGGTGGCCATAAGCTCTAGTAATTCCTGGAAAACCGATTTAAAAAATAATCTATTGTGTAAGGTATTATTATGCTCACGACTTCACAAATGTTGACAGGAGCCATACGAAACTCCTTCCACCCGTCGGCTACAACAATGGAGGATGTAATTCCTCAGGGGTGAGTTGCAGGTTCATGTACTATAAACACTGTTTAATTACTTTGGAACACAGGATAACAATAAACTCTGGAAATAGCAGTTATTTTTCAATTAAAATGACATTATCCGCTTTCCAAAACTCTGAAGATCAGGTACACAAAACAATAATTTTTTTCAGTTATTTGTATGGGTGTGAAAACTAATCTCTTGTCTTAAAGAAAAGATTTATATTACAAATGTGCGAAAAAAAGTCCTTTTGAAAATATTTTAAAAAGTGTTCTTTGGCCCGGCACTTGGTTCGTCTCTGAGCAAATGTAGTTTAGTTTCATATTTATTTGCGCGCTGTATGAAACTTTCAAAATCCTTGGTTATTTAGAATCAAAACCCCTAGGAACAAAGCTCTAGTTACTATTTTTTAACACCAGCGTGAAAATGTACAAGACAATTACACTTGAAAGACATTACACAACTTCGAGAAATAAATTAAATTACCGTAAGTTTAAACCCCAGGTCGGTGGACTGAGTTTCGTATGGGTACTAATTTTTGTTAATATAGGTATTCACTCTACCCAGATGGTCATTAATTTAGTGAAGTTTCAAGGAATTGTTGGAAAATTTATGTTTTTTTTAAACCTTTGTTAGATCTGGAATCTTTAAGACTGCTGCTTTGTTTCCTGTCTTCAATATTACCTTATTATTATTACTAACTGGCTTAACTACGCATGTAATATAATATTACGTACGACCTGAGGATAGCCTAGAGAAAAATGGAGCTTTACGTAAGATTCCTAACAATAGGACTCCCTAGAATTTAATGACGTAAAGACTTATTGTTTAACGTATGAGTAACAGAAATGTTCCTTCATGTGTGCATGCATAATGTGAAAGTGAGGGCGTTTAAACAAAAACCAGATAAACGCCAAGGCCAATGACGTATGGAAACTAGCATAGACGGCAATTATAAAATATTTGTACTCCCTTACAACGAGCCTTTCCTGTCTTGTCTAGTTCAACAGGGGAAAATAACAGGGGGCGTTGACTGATTTTAAATTTAAGGAAGATTTCTAGGCCTTATAGTGTGAAAAAACAGTAATGGTTGCAAATTAAGAATTAGGAGGAAACCGTTTCTGGTGGATTTATATATTATCTCAGTATGTGCCAGAAGATACAATGAAAATCACAATGAACCACCAAACACTAAGACGGAGCTTTGTTCCTTCGGTATTATGCTGCAAGGCTGAATAATAATGGTAAAAAAGTAATAAAGGATTGTCAATCAGTTACGGGTGGAGACAAAGCAATCTGCTGTGAGGTATTCTCAACATTTTTCATAAGCATCCAAGGTAAACAATGCAAATTCCCAATCAAAAGTAGCAACCTCAAGATGTTGTCACGTGACCTCCAAAATATGCGTAAGATACTACTTTTTTAACTATGGCGTTCACGTCAGAACCGGTTCATAACAGTTGAGGGAGACTTGGGCAATTGAAATAAAGCAGTTTGCGAGTCGATCGATATTTCCTTGAATATCAATGAATCGGGCTATAAAACCGGATTCCTCTAATCCAACTGTTTCCATCTTCAGGGACCAAGATGGATATAAGTCCACGCGGCGTGACAACCCAGAAGACCAGCATCGATATGGTTATGAATCTTCAGAGGACAATGGCCTACAATGACATACTATAAATATGAATCTGTTTAACACATTAGCACTTCCCTCAGAATGTACCATACGCAACTATTCTTCATATGGGAATTTGTAAAAAAATACTATAAAACTGCACAGCTTATTGTTTTTGGAGAAGGCCCTGAGTAAAATGACATATTTATAGTCATCTCAGGAACTACTGTTATGTTTACCAATTAAGATTACAGAACATGTAATTAACAATATTAACAGCATGTTGTTATGTTTTTCAGCGGAAATGGCGGCTGAGTCGAGTTCCTGTTCTTTGTGAGTGACCAATCAGCGCAAAGGAGGTCTGCTGATAAGCAACTAGACCTCAGTCTGTTAAGTAACCCCGTGGTAGAAGCATCGGCAGTTCTTAGGTGTACTTTGAGTAGTGTTATAACAATTCACTGGAAACCAATGCTACATCTTGCACCACTGTATGTTATTTCCTTACCTTCTCGCCCCTCCGCCCCACTCTTTTACTTCCTACAAAGGCACAGTACATGTCCAGCCGCCAATTCGGCTGAAAACAATAAAAGTCACAGAGAAGCTAACAGAAAACAGAGCAATATAATATAAAGCCAACATCTACCAAGAAAAACAGCATAAACACACATTCCAAAGCTCAAGTTCAAAATACGATAAAAGTTAATTTTTTCTGATACAGTTTTAAAATGCTAATTATATCATCAGCAAGAAAATATGTCACTTGACAAAGGAAAATATCTATGCCATTAGGCCACTGAAATTGGGGCATTATAAAACACGGAGTTTCCTCAAGGTTCAATATTGGTCCCCGGCTTTTCCTCATGTGCCTACCATTAACTCTCAGTCTAAACCCATACTTCTCGTGGATGATACTAATATTATTATTTCACATCCAGAAATTAGTCTTTGTTAGCTTGAACAAATTGATTGAAGCCAATAAACTTACATTATATTTTGACAAAAAATGTCATAAAATTTTGTACTACCAACAAAAATGGTGTTAATCTAGGTATAAGATATAGGATAAAACAACTGAAGAAGTAGAAACAACAAAAATTCTTGACCTACAAACAGACAATAACTTAAATTTGAAAACACAGATTCAATAAACTAAACTAAGCTCAACGTTCTTCGCTATGAGGACTGTCACGTCTCTCACGAAAACAGAAACTTTAAAATTAGTCTACTTTGCTTATTACCATTTGATCATGTCATATGGAATTATTTTCTAGGGAAACTCATCAAAGACAGCAAAAAAGTATTTTAAATTTTAAAGAAAATCGTTAGAATAGCATGCACTAAAAGGAGAGCCTTAAGTGGTGAATTGTTTAAGGAATTTAATATTCTTCTACAAGCCAGCAAAATCTTGCTATCATTATTATCATTTATAGTGGACAACACAGAAAATTCTGAAAACTCAGATATCCACAATATAAGTAAAGATACAGATATGGCCTTCATGTGTCAACAACTAACCTCAGTAAATATAAAAAATGAATTAACTATGCTGGAATTAAGCTATTCATTTAAATTACCCCCACTGCACAGTCTGAAACAAGATATAAAGAAGTTTAAACCAGCACTGAAAGAGTATCTCCTGTCTCGCTCCTTCTAATCCACAGATGAATTTACCTTAATCAAAAATTCTTAGCGATTATAAATACATGTATGCAATAGGGGTTATGTTTTCTTGTGTAATTATTTTTATAGTAATACTGTAGCTGGCTGTAAATTACTGTCATAACTATGTAATTTATATTAGAAACAAGTACTGTATTTGTACTATGACATGTTCTACTTCTTTGACTTTGGCCTATGAAGGATCTGTAGAAAGTAAATAAATTCTGTTGTTCTATTCTATGTACATCTATATCCTTGGCTTAGGCCTATGAAGGATCTATGGACTGTAAATAAATTCTATTCCAATCTAGTGAGTTTACACACTAAAGTGGAATGTCATTTGAACTAAAGTTTGCTGCACTCATTTTCCACTCTATAGTCAAAAAACACAATAAACATATGAAGATGGCTGTCTTCTGGGTTGTTGCGACGTGTAGTCTGGTAGCAGTTTACTGGCAACACCGTGCAACAACCCAGAAGGCAGTCATCTTCATACTCTTTGCCATGAAAACCTCAAATCCTACACAATAAATGCTGACAGAAGCAAATAATATCAATTATGACTTACTTTCAAATTCTTCATCACAGGATATCTGTGTCAATAAACCGATCGGAACTCGTAAGCTGCCAGTGTTGATAACCTATGACTAAAACCGTAAGAGAAACGCCAGATATCCGTATGTATACGAAGCTTGAAAACCGCGCTCTCACAACACGCCATCTTCCAATAGAGTTAATACCAACATAGCCAATATACCGGCGCAAAATGTAAAATCATTACGGGAATATAGTTATCAATAGCCAAAAGCATGGAGTATCATGAGAATCTGAATAACCATAAACTTTTCAAGGAAGAATTACTCTTGAGCCAGTTAGCTACTTGGCTGGTGAGTTAGTTTTATGAAATTCATCTTAGCTACGGTAGAAAACTCCATCGAGCAGAGTTCTTCTTGAGAGACAGTTAAATGTAAAACGATAATCTTCTTTTTATGCGTAAAGATAAGACAACGTAATGCCTTTAACTCACTCTACAGTACGCTCATGACGATAAGTACGCGTAAATTCACAGCAAAAATGTGCCACTGCCTGTGGTTGCCTGATTATTAACTGATCTAAGAACATTCACAACTACCTGCAGCTCTACAAGACAATACTGCAACGTAGCGAACTAAATGATAACAGCGGGACAGAGCACAGAACACATGAGCAATACACTTCCGCCCTCAATCGCGCTAGACTTGTAACGGTTCTCACGTATAAAATTTATCTCCCAAAACATACAATGACCAACATAATATTCATACAGTAACCCAATAAACATTGTCACAAGCCTCTACAGATTCAATACAATGGTTGTATCTACTGCAGCCAACAGAATACGAATTCCGAAATTCACTAAACAAACACCGCACAGCAGAAAACAAGGTGTTTCCCCAATGCACATATGGAGATGGAGGGGCAAATCATTTAGCAAGAGGGTCCCCATTATGCAGATTGAGTATCATGGCTGTAAATATTACATAAATTATTCAAAAACCATTTATTAAAAAGACTGGTTATCTCTGGCACTACTTTTCTCAAAAGCTATGTTTGACATTTCATAATATTGAAACATAAAAATGCACTTTAGAATTTGTGTATTTAACTTTTTCCAATCCACGTTGGATTCTGTCAATGCAGTGTTCTGCAACCAGTGTGTTGCTGCAAGGTTTGAGGTGTGCCATGAATTTTTATAAGAAACTGCACATTCACACATTATAGTAAGAAAAGGGCAATACCTTACCTTCCATAATATACATACACACTGGTTCATCAACAATAATTTTATTCAGCATGTGTCGTTTTGTTTTACTTTGCCTGTATTCTTGTAGTGAAAGGATTTATATGTAAATATTTATAGCCATGCATTGTTTAATACCCCTTTTAGTGAGGTGACATTTTGTTATGTATCATCAGGCATTTTTAATAAATTATGGTGAAAAAGTGTTGCAGAATACTATGTTAATACACAGATGCCAACGATAACTATAAGAATATGTGAAACTGTCTGTGAAAATTACACTACCACTGGACTCTACTTTTAAACTTTTGAAGCTACAGTTTAAACATTGTGAGGGAACTCTAGGATGTTAAAACATGCAGAATGTATCTGCATAATAATTGTCAAACATGTAAGTTTTCCAAGAGATTATCAATCTTTAAATATTGGCATAAATAATCTTTCATGTACAAAATTTCAGCTGCAAAACACTGAACAAAATCACACATTTCCAAGTTAGTACATAATTCTCTATGGAACTACAACTACGTTCACACTTGCACCAGCCATAGCATACATACGTGAGTTGTAGAAGGTCTACAACAAATTGTGGCTTGAAAGTGTTTTTAGTAAAATAATCCTTTTTGTTTGAATTACCCTTATATGTTGATAAAACAAGTACTAACCTCTAATATAATTTCAGTACTTGATCAAATTTTGTAGATATTCAGAACTGTTATTAAAAAGACGAGGAAATGAGCTGATAATATATTCATATTTTAATTATTTTACATACACTTACAATTTAAATTAATTTACAATATTATTACAATATTACTATTTTCTTAGGCATCTTTGGCATTGATGAAGCATTTCTACGTGATAATGCACGGTAACTGTTAAGAATGGTTGTTCCAAACAACTTAACAGCAACAAACAACACCACAGCCCATAACATTTTATTTATATCCTGAGCTATTTGCCAAAGATTGATTAGTTTGGTTCACTGTTGATTGTACAGTTATCAAGAAGATAAATATTACCTCTCCTTATGGCAGTGACGACTCTCAGTGCTGCCAATGTGCGAATAGAATGGTTCCCAAACATCCTTAGTTCATAGAACACCTGGATATCATAACACTCTCTGCAGAAAGCCATCTCTCAAACTAGGAACAACGTTACTAGCGGGAAATATCTCGTATTATATTACGGTCCGCACACCTCATCACATAACAAATAAAATGCAAATATGGAAAAGACTGATGCAACACCAGTGTTCCACAAGAGAATATTTGGGAATCAACGGGCTAATAAGACTAAAAGAACGGCATCTGTTAAGTTATCACACTGCGTCTATCAAATATACCTGTGGCCAGGAATCTACAAGTATATACCACATAATCCATAACTATTATGTTTAATGATTTACGTATTCCATCTCAGAATTGATCTTATTTGTTAAATTCACAAATAGTGTTACCTGACAATATCCTGTGGTGTTAAACCTAAGATCTCATCATCTGGCAACGAGATCTCGTTACACTATGTGACTTAAAACGTACTGAAACAAAAGTAAGACAGATGTGGAGAAACTTCATCTTCTGCAGAATCATACTAATTCAGAGCGTTAAGAATGCTGCACAGAAATGATGGCAGGGAAGACAATTTGCAGGAATAACATATCACGCAATAAAAAATAAGAAATATCAACAGGACAATGATTCCTAACAACAGAGGTCACCGCAGTCACAACTAACGGAGGAAGAATATCAGTAGAATGCAGAATTACTCCCTTAAGCATTAGTGTAGAAAATTATACCTTTAATAATTTTACGATTTGGAAATATTTTAATATGGGCAGAAATATTGTCAAATTTAAAAATGTTTTGGTCCTATAAAATATACGAATTACATATGAAAACATACGATCCCAAAATGAAAAGAGCACGAACGCTAATCAGATATAAATGGTAAAACAGACTTTATGTAAGAGTTGTAAACTCTTCAATTATTCGTACGCTAATTCATTTGATGAAAACGTGAGATCCGGTGCAACAGAGAAAAAGAACAAGTGTAATAAATGCAGATGCTCTATCAAGCTGCTAGCTCTTTTCTTGTAGTACATATGCTTAGGTGCTGCTGGACTCCTTTACGTAAAAACAGACGGGGCTAAGAGGTCACAGATTCCGAGACGACTTCCGGACTGGTGATAACGACTGTGGAAGTGGGTACAGACTGGGACTGAGACTGCTCAGAGCTATGTGATGAGGATCTAGAGTGCTTTCCTCCTACAGAGGGTGCAACTGGAGTCTGTACTTGAGGCTGTGGAGGGTTCCTTGAACCTGGTGGGGAACTGGCTCCTTGCTGCAGCTGCATGTGATAACGGTAGATGTTCTCAGTACTTTCAACCACACCTGTAATGAGAATATTTGTATAACAGTGTCACCCATCTGCTCCTGAGAGCAATACTAACAATCTCCACTACACCAGCAGGCCAGAAATTCACAACAACTACATGCTAACTTTCCATTACGTTTTACGAACAACAAACTAAAGCTTATTGTTACTACGCAAATCAATACAGCATTTTAAGGCAATAATATGAACTCTGTCACACATTCTCATCAAATTTCCACCAGAAAAACATCGTGGTCAACTTTAAACGTTATAAAATAATGCCATGGTACAATAATTTTTGTCAATTAGAAAAATTCAGTAAACCTGCAGTAAGGTTGAGGCTGCGACCCTTGATGCCACTCTCTTTACTAGGGGGAGACCACCAGTTGACAAGTGAACCAAACACCGGGACATGACGTAAGATACCCTCCTGCCATAGTCGCTCTTCATTCTCTTTCTGCAAGTCCAATGTCGCAGCTTCGATGCCTTTCTTGACAATCTCAGTCATGGTCTCAAGGAACCGTGATGATTCCTCGACCTCCTGACCCATTGTCACAACCAAACCAAGCAGTTCCTCCACATCTGTGTCAGTTGTCACCATACCAAACCTGACACACACTAACCCATCTGTGCCTTCCCCTGTAATCATATGTAAAATGTACATTAAGAAGACGCCCATTCTTTTCACAGTCAAAATTAGTTTCCTAATTATATTTTTTACCTGTTACTGGTAAATGATGTCCGTCACTGATTTGGGTCAGCGCTGAGAGGAGTCCAACATATTTATTTTATGTTAGACCTACATGCACAGACCAGACATCTCATATTTAAACATAATTAATAGAATATGAAAGCTCCTATAGCAAAAATAATATGCAACACATATGATCTGTAACAAGCAGCAAACATTTGCACCCCCTTAAATAATAAAATATGTATATATATATGCCAATGGCATACGTTTATTACGGCTATCCTTCATACCACTAAAACAACACTAATGGAATGTCAGTGTAATTTAATTTGGTGTCATGCTACTTCAACAGAAATTCTATGTTTTACTCTGCTATTCACATACATAAAGAAATTAGCAGTGTACATTTTAATTTTAAATATACTAATAATATCTGAAATTTAACAACTTATGATCAGTATAAAATATGAGTGTTGGTAAGGTTCATGCATATTAAGGGACAGTACTTCATCCTTGTTTATGAGATGGTAAAATACTATGATTAATGCTATAAATAACAAATTATCACACTCTGTAACACCCAACTTCTGGCTTCTTTGCAAGCGTCACTAATGAAGTTCACGTCCTCCCCTCAAATGGCTCCTACTCACCAACAGAGAAAGCAGCATCAGTGCTGTGCAGCTGTTCCACCAACTGCATATTGAGTCTGTTGAGCTCCTCCTTTGCCTGATCTGTCATGAGCTGCTCCCATCCTTCAGGCACATAACGCACTCCACCCAGCCCTGCCCACCCTGGCATATCCACCAGACGCAAGCGAGGAGATGCAGTTACTAAACGCTGAAACATCTCTTTGTGCTGTACAGTAGCTGAAAGAATATCCTGCGAACAAGGTAACAAATCTGTGGGTTTCATAAAAGGTGGAGAACTTCTTTACTAGTTGAGATACTATAAGCTTTTCAAGAAGGACCCTGACGAAACACCATGGCCGAGAGGCTAGCAACCTTGCTTCATATTTGTAAGGTCCCGTGTTCAGATGTCTGCCTGCAGGCCAACTACCCCGACTATGGTTTTTTTGTTCAGTCCCCCAGGCAAAAATGGGACCTTACATTAGGCCACAACCACTTCCTTCCACATTGTTTCTAATTCATTAATCATTCAATCATTTAACATTATATAGTCTGGGCTACTGACAGTGTCATTAAATAAACCACAAATACACAAAAAATACAAAAGACTGCTCTATTATTATGTTCAGCACAGCAGTGAATATACTGTATTTGTTTACAACTGATGCAGAAAAGAGTTAAAATGGCTAATATAAAATTAAAAACTAGTTTTGCAAACATATAATAATGGTATTGCTATATTACTCACCAGCTGCTGTTCTAGACAGATTACAAACATCTCAACATCAGCTGCATCTGGAATCTTATCACCATCCATTTCCAGCGGGCAATAGCGTAGCACCACACCACTAGTCTCGAGTTCACAAATCTCCATTGGTACATGGGAAGCATCACGCTGCAGGATTTGTCCTAACTAGAATCAAGATGGGCACATGGCCACTTTTGGCAAAATTATAAATTTTTCATTTAACTCTCATGTAAAGTAGACTATAAACTGACAGGAAACTAACATCAAATTTACCCGACACATTTTAGTCACACACATAATTCATCGAAACCTTTTCTTGGAGATGAAACATGCAGATGGACAGACACATACAAATTCAATCATTTTATGCTCTCTTACAAAGAACAAATAAATAATAACTATATTAAACTAATTTCACCTACATTTTTGTAGAAACATTTCCTCTACAAAAAATAGAATCATTATATTGCCATGGCCCAGCTGGCAGACTCACAATATTTATCGAGGAGTTTAACATAAAGACTAGGTTATTAGGCTGAAAATATGGTGACAGTAGACAGATAAAATAAGACACACACAACGAAACCAGTCCCAAATTATCTCTCGTGTAAATAACAAAGGCACAAAATTTGATCTAAGAAATGGAAGGCCATTGCTCTACACACAAGACAATTGTATAAACATTAAACAATTTATCTGAACAAACCCAGGAATTGAGCTTGTCGTAGTATGATGGCACTCGACCACCTGCGTCACTGTTACTACTCTCTGGCACAAACTGAAACACAACCGTGCAGGCCACCACTTCTAGTAACACCTGTAACAAACACAATACACCTATCACATTCACAGTATAACTAAACAGACAGGATTATTCGTCGATGTTTTCAACAGTCTTAAACTCAGGTCTGATTATTATGACATGAGACTTTTCCAGTCTACTGAAATAAAATGTAACTGAGCAGCACTGTCCTCTACTTACTGCTGTACCGACTGGTTTGGACACCAACTCTGCCACAGTAAAGGTCCCAGCCTCCCCTCCAGGCTGTTGACTCTAAAATAGAATAACACAGGAATCTTATAACCCCACTTAATGGTACCTGGACCTTGTCGTGGTGGTGGGGCCTGAGTACCTCAGTGACCCCAAGAGCTATGCTGGCGGTAGGTAGGGCCTCCCTAGCCAGATTGGTCGAGGGGGAGAGGTCAGACTAAGACAGGTACCCTGGTCCTCCAGGTTGGGGGTTGGCCGCAAGGCTAACAACCTTGCACCGTAAAAAGGAAGATGTTTCAAAACCACAAGCAAAGCCTCGGACAGACGGACCTAAAAAAAGGACCGAATGGAAGAGGAGAAATGAGGAGGCCATGGACCAAATACGGACCAGAGAGCCACAGAAGAAGAAGAAGGAATCTTATAAATTGTGTACAAGATCAACTGATAGGGCTAAAAACTTGAAACAGTTATAAGCAGTTGGCAACTTCCCTGATATAACCCCTTTTACAGAAATCCTGCTCAAGGTATGACAGTGACATATTGGAGCTTTCCAAGATATCTTAGAAAGATGATACATGAATCAATCCGAAATATGTACACTTATCTGCTCTCCGCCCATTCTCACATACTTCATAATTCCACTACATTGGCTGACATTCACCCGAACTTAAAATAATGCCTGTTATAGTCAACTTATCTCACTTACCAGTAACCTCAAACACGGATATTTGGATATCTTTTTCCATATCAGTTCACTAGATTCAAATGCCTCACGAACTTTGGACTGTACACCATCTCGACCCAATGCCTGCAAAAAGCAGCGACTCATTAACTATTAAACTTGGGAAGAGCTGATGGAAACAGATGCATGTGAATCTTATCATTAATAATTTACCTGTAAAGCAGCCCACAATGACAAGCAACTGAGACGCCGTGTGAAGTGGTCTGCTGTCAGCCCAGCTACAAGGGGCAATGTACTCTCTCTGGGCACTCCAACTGCAGACATGGTTTGGCCTTGCCTCTTCGAACTACCATCAAATAAGCGGTACAGTGTCTGCACAGTTAGTGTCAAGGAATATTTCTTTTATTTAAAAATTAATTGTACTGAAATAATGGCATTTCTTATATCACACACGTTCAACAAATTTTCACTTAATGCTTGTAACTGCATGCATGTGAATCTTAACTGATGCATAAAGTTTGTACACAGAACAAAAAATCTTATTTAATTATTAAATTCAGGTTATAAAAAGATGATGTCATAACACAATACAAAGTAATCTGCTTCATGCATTAAACGATTTATGGTTGACTAATTACAAAACAACTGTAAAAACCTAAATGAATTTATGCATTATATCCACATGAACTCCTACACACCAAATAGGCAGACAGGACGGAAGAAAACATGAGGTACAAGTATACTACATTACAGACACAATGATATCTCATTTTTCAGATGCTAAATTAGAAATCTGAAGAACCGGATTGTGTATAGTTTGGTGTCTCTTTAGAATAACTCCATATATCCTTGTATGCAGCTGTTAATGCGGTGAATACTAAAGGATACAACCACTGGCAGAGCAGGAATACCAAGCCAGATCCCAAGAGGTAGTGTGAAGCTATCAGCAATTCTGGTTGGCTGAAAATTAGAACAATATTGTGAGAGTTTACAATGAACCCAACATAAACCACAGATGACGGAATGCTACTTACCATATTTTGGACCGACACCATAGCAAGGGCTGCAAGACTGTGACCACGAAGGTGGAACCATATGTCATGCTGTTTGCATAATTCTTGGAGTCTCTGCACATTGTCAACATGACCTGCTATTGTGGTACCTGAAATCCAGTTCTAGTTTGCATTAATCAAGCTAATTCTTTCTTTAATTACGTTAATATCAACACTTACTAGTACAGTCTCTTCACCAGCTTCAAAATAAGTTTCTCCAAACATTATTTCCATCTGACTTGACATTAAAAGTACAAATATTTTTACAACTATTTATTTATCTTACAAGAGAGTCTGAGAACAAACAAAAAATCCTAATTTAAGCAAATTTAACTTCATCAGTCAAGATGTGGAAAAACATTAAACATGTAAATAACCAAAATTATTTACAAGGTCAATTAGGCCCATATATAAAGGGGCCCCTCATAAGAAAAATCAATTAAACTTGTCCATACTAAAATGCAGACAGATAGATGAAACATTAATAAATGGCTTTAAAAAGCTGTTTTAAATACAACTATAAATGGCAAAGCTTTGTTTCGCATAGATGAATTTGGATTTTATTTTTACTCGTTCCTTCTAACACACAAGAAAATGATGAACGAGTTCATAACATATACTCCAGTAACACAGAGTTTATCTTACCGGCATCTGCAAGCACAATAAGTGGTATCCTGTTGCTAGCTTTATCCTCTTCAATTAATCGCTCTAAAGCTGCCACATCTATCTTCTGCTGAGAACCAAACAGTGTATTGCATGGCACAGGACGAACACAATACATAGGCAGTCCCAGCTAAAAAGGATAAAATGAAATATTAATATAATAACTTCCAACACAATTTACAAATATGGTAAAGTAGTGGTATGAACATTTAACAAAGTGCTTGGAACATCTGACTGATAGTGAACACCTCCATTAACTGCATTATGTAATTATGTTCTTTTTTGTACCGTCGGGTTGGAGCCGACCCCTGGTGACATTATGAACAAGATCCCTCTGATAGGGACCTGTTCATATGTTTCCTAGGCAAATGATCCAGAAGGTGTAATTATGTATTTAGGTATTATGTCGCAAAGCTAACTACCTTGCACCGTAAAAAGGAAGATGTTTCGAAACCTCAATCAAAGCCTCAGACAAGACAAGACGCACCTAACAGAGGACCGAATGGAAGAGGAGAATTGAGGAGGCCACGGACCGAATACGGACCGGAGAGCCACAGAAGGAGAAGAAGAAGGTATTATGTACTGAAAAAGTGCTGTCATCACTTCTGACAAACTGAAGTACGTGACTATTTCAGCGAGGAGATAAAATGTAAGTTCTTTATGATAATCCTTGCATATAGAATGCAAACCAGCTATTTTAGCATGTCTCCCCATTATTGGTTACCAGCACTACCTGCAGTACTGAGGTCCACTGTGCAACACAAACATACTACATGAAGGAAGTTTTCGTCTCTGGTATCCCTTATATTCACTTATGAATTCTAGTTTCACTTGGCGTTTATTCACCTGACGACAAATATGCTGTACTACACCAAGGGGAGATGCCACACTACTGTAGATGACAGGTGGGCGAGAGGTCAAGGCATCAAACCCATCCTCCAGGTACTTTGGATATTTGTAGTGTAGCATCATCCGTGTCAGCTTCACCACCCCTTCCAGCATGTCATCATGAAAAAATGCTGCACAATCAAAAAACCTGCAACAGATGCAGGAATTGAATGAGAATGTGCAGACCTGTGATAAATCTGGAACAATTAATTTCCTATTATATTTAAATAAGGCACATTTATACAAATATGGAAACAAAGCTACCATGAATTTGATTCCAAAAGGTTGGCCAGTAAACTCCAACATATTCACAGAACAAACACTCTGACATTGTAAAGTATGTTGGCAACAACTACAGGTTAAAGATAGTAAAACCCACATTTTCCACATACATAGTAAATCAGAATTTGAGTTTAACATTAATTTAACATGAAAAACTATTAAAGATGAATGTCTGTACTTGAAAAATTTCACATACTGTCCTTATGCGGACAGTTACAAATCCATAAATATTGATAAATTCTTTGATGAGGAAAATTAAATGCATGCTGTTATCAGCAGATCATTATACATAACACAGAGTATATATTTGCACAGTTGAATTTCTAAGTGCAAAATACATTCAATTCTCTTATAAAAGCAGGATATGAAAGTGAAGGAACAATAACACAGGTAATGGCACACAGCTGCACACACTTCTACCACACTGAGGGATAACAAAGTCTGCCACCAGCAATCTTAAATTCCTCAATACAAAAATAAAATGTAATGTAAACAGGTTTTGACACAACTGTTATGTAGTGAGATGTCATTGACAAGTGCAAAAGACAGTCATCTTAATATAATTTCTATACAAACATTGTGTACTCACATCATCAATGGTGTTATAAATTTTTTTGTAGTTCCTTGGCTCTACAACCCAGTTGTGCGTCTTCACCGCCTCCTTCTCAGAGGTTTCCTAGTCTTTTGAAGCGTGCATTTGTAAGTAGTGAGTGACCAGCCCACTGACTCTGCACAATTTCTACTCAAGCCTGATTTAACTGCCAGAGCCATCTAGCAGTGAATCAGGAGACTTGGGTGAGAAATGGCCACTGAATTTTGCTTACAAAACATCTCGTTCATGCTCGTAAGGTTCTTTTACACGCCGTAAATCTACAACATGGGACCGCTGGCTTTACTTCCCCTCCGAAATAAGATGTGCTACGGATTTTTATCAGCCTTAAAAATTCAAAAAAATCGGTTGGGTTTGAACCCGCAGACCTTGGGTCCAGTGGCGAGCACGCTAACCACTGGTCCACCGAGGGTGACAGTGTTATAAATTACTATTATTAAAAAGGCTGATGGTATAAATGCTCACAACTGGGAGAACATAAAATCACACTTACAAATAATACTGTACACACAGTTATGTAAACGTTATCATACCATCATCTGGCTTTCCATACACCAGACTGTACATGGAGACTACTTACTCCTGTGTTGCTTTTCACCAGTAAACTACAGCAGTACACTCAGCCTCAACTGGCAATTCTTCATTGGTTGACCAATACCACTAAACTTAATCCAAAGAAATTTATAAAATAATAATACCCAAAACTTTCTTGCTCTATTATGTTATACTTCAAAATACCCAAAACATCCTTACCTGAAAAGATGACTAAGCCATCGTGTGGTGTCTGACGTAATGCGAGTGCTGAGACGCTGCAGGTGAGAACGCTCCAAAGCAGTAGAAAATGCTGCCACACTATGCGTAACAACTGCCAATCGAGCAGCAGCATCTAACTGAGGCAGAGGAGCAACTGTGGGTCTATGAGAACCTTCTTCTTCAGGAGAATCACTTGGACTGCCAGAGTCCTCATGAATTATCATGTCCTGCCATACAAAATGAAACAATATGCAGGAACACAGTAAATACATATACACTTATATCACTCTTCCCCATTTTTTCCAAACTGTTTAACTCTGGAGCAGCAAGAAAATATTCACAGACTTCAGGAAAAAAAAAAGACATTTTAACAGCTAAAATATAATATATTTTATTGTCATTGTACACCAATGATATTACATATCTTTTAGCTACTTGGTATTTTCTGATAACATCTTAATCACACAAAGTCATTTTTTGAGGACAAACAAGAAGGGTCCTCCTGATCATACAGTCCTTTTACCCTCATCAATAACATGGAAGATATTATGTGGTAAATGAAACACAATGCATGAAATAAGAATTTAATTTTAATAATGAATTTCTTGAATTACTACCTTGTACTTTGTGACTACTTCTTTCAAAAAAGTTACCTCTCATTCACATAACATAACTAACTAAATGGCTTTTGAAACCTGAAGGTTCATCACTGAATTAACCAAAGCCCTCCACTGGACTCTGTCCTGGGCCATTCACATAACATTCCCAACATAAATTTCAAATCATATCATACTCACTAGAAATCCTGCCAAAGTCTTGACTTAGAAGTGTTTGAACCTTTATCACCATTATGTGACAGTCTTATGACAACAGTGAATGTTAATACCTCCAACTGTGAAAGAATCTCCTCAGTGGTTTTGCTTGGAAGTGGGAGGAAGGCACTAGAATTCTTCCAGGACTGTCCTGCTGCAGACCCTCCATCTCCATCTTCTGCCTTCTCAACTGCCTCTTCCAAACGTTCAATCACTTGTGAAGCTTGGAATTCTATCCCTGATACCACGGACTGAAATATAATAGTTATTCAATTTGAATATGTGCCTTTCTACGTGTTTTGTCGTATATATCTGTACGTTTTCAATTACGACTTATTTTACATTCCCTATTTTCATTCTAACTTGTGGATCCATACACTGTGCATTTATATTAATTATATACATTAATATGAAGATCAATAATAGATTCGTTTCGTCCCACTAAAATAATTCTTGGGTACCCAGCTCAAATGGCAAATGGATTATTATCAATGTTTTCGACATTTCCTATCAGATTAAAAAGGAAATATTTATGTAAAGTCACGTTCCTTGAATCA